CCAAATATTTTGCGAAATCTTATAACTCAATTCGTCCATTGTTAAAATGGAGTTTTTTTTTCGTTTTCCTACATTCCTAGTTAAATCTAAATGCCTATTAAGTATCTCCCGAAAAAGTATATCAGCTTTTGGAAGTAGCGTAAAAAAAAACTCAAAAAAATGGATGGGTGGGCATATTTTACATTCTGTCATCTATATCACCTTTAATTGACAGGATGAGGGGGTAATAATTTGCCGTCAGTCATTTAGTTATTCGAAAGAATATATAAATTTTATAATAAAAATAATCGATAAAACCTCAATTACACTGTCTTTTCCCTTCCATCCCTCGTCCATATTAAATAGTGATAAAAAAAATTCAAGGGATAGAAAAGATATTGATTTATTTTCACCCCATCAATTTTATCTTTTTTGAAAATGTCCAGATTATATTTATTTTATTGATATTTAATTTTTTTTTTTTAAAGTTCTTCCAAATCTTGGTCTGCGTCTGCGCACTTAACTCGTCTAGTTTCCCCCTTCGCTTTTTAGAATTCCAAATAGCTGTCTGAGATTAGAAAATGATTTTAAACCATTCATATACGTTACACTTAGGCCACCCGAAATAATAAAAAAAAAAATTCGCGAACTTTCGAAACTTTATGGGAAAAAACAAAATATGCTTCATTATTTTGTGTAAAAATAAAAACGACCCAAAACATAATTCTAGAAAATTTTAAGAATTATCATATATTTCAACATTTTGGAACTTCAGAAGGTTTTCTAGCTTTAGCCAATTTTTTAAATAATATCCTGAGTGAGAATCAATTTTACCAAAAATATCCTATAATCTTAAGTTACTTTTCTGAATAGAATGCTCCAATCCACCCCCCCCCCCCCCAAAAAAAACGATTTTTTAAGATTAACTTCAAAAATAAATAATTTGTATATAGGATTCGAAGTCGATCTGATCTGAAAAGAATATAATAATTGGCGCGTAGCATAGTTTTTTTTTCTTTTATAAATATTCTTCTCGACATATTTGTAATATATCAATCGTTTTTTATTTCTAACAATTATATGCGACATTTATGTATTCATATAAGAGATACAATATTTAAGTAGAATAATATAAGAGCGTAGTGTTTTTAAAAAAAAGGGGCTAACCCAATATTTATGGGTCTGTAAATTTAGTTCACAGATGCCAGAAATGATTGGACATCTATCAACAAAAATTTCGAGGCTTGGGGTGATGTTATCCTCGATAAAAAATCCTATTTTAAAATAGGATAAATCGAGCCACTTTACAACATGTTTGAAAATTGATCCTCGTAAAAAGTTTGAAAAATGATACCGTACCATTTTGAAATATGAGAGTTTTGAAATAATATTGATCAACCATCCCTTTACCATTAGTTGGTTAATTTAATTTCTCTATTTTTTTTATAGCCCCTTTGGGAGAAGCGGTAAAAAATAAATGTTATCAAAAATTACTTAATATAAGAAGTAATTGTTTAATTGTTCTAGATAGGTAACTCCAAATTTGTAACTATTTACAGTTACATATTAAAAAAAACACTGGAATGCAATTTGTTAGAATTATATTTTTTTTATATAAAAATATAGTTAGTTATGAGTAATGACAACTTTGTATTAAGTAGGCAATTAGTTATCTGTCAGCTACCGTTAGAGTTCTAGCTCTTTTTTTAGAAATGTAACTAAATTACACAGAATTAACTAAAGAAGCTTCAATATTTACCGGGTTTTTTCTTCATAGTTGGGTAATAATTACTAGGTTTCTAGTCGTTATTAAGCCAATTTGTCGGCTAAAACAATCGGTTAAACCCGAGATTTTAGCCCAAAACTATTACTTTGGCCTAGGGATTCTGCTTATATATAGCAGCTAAAATTTGAGATAAAAACTGATATGACTTAAAACGTCTCAATGTTAACGGATTGTAGATTGAGCCGTATTAGCCGACATTTAGCGACAGGCGCCTGTAGATTGGGCCGAATTAGGTGATTAACCCTCGAACCACATATTCGTTATTGATTTGGCTATAGTAAAAAAAAGGGGGGAAGAAGACAAAACAACTAACTATTTAAAAATCGATATAGAACTTTTCTTTTTATCGACAATCGCAACAATCATCATAATTTCAAAAAAAGTATTAACCAATTATGTTTTTTTTTCTTTAAAAAGAGAAGGGGGGGGGGGAGGATCGACAAAATATCGAATTTTGTTTAATATATAATATATATATATAATTATTTTCTAATATTAAAAAAATAATAATTATTTCGTTTCCTTTTTTCCTAGTGCATGTAAAAAAATAAATCTATCCTCGATTTGATTAAGATTTTGCACTTTCCGCATTTATTAGCATTAAAAAAACGGATCAATAGATTCTAACGATAACCATTTTTTTTATGATACAAAATTATAAAGTTTCATTTTGTTGTTGTTTTTTTTGGAATTTAATTTTTTTTTTATCGATTTCTTTTTTTTTAAAAAAAATAAAAAAATAGTTTTAAAAAGGGGCGGGGGTTGGGGGGTGGTGTGGTGGTGGAAGAAGGATAGTTTCACCTTACGACTGTGCATCTCGTTACTCCCTTCATGTTGATCGTCTTAATTACTTACAAATCTTTCCATAATTTTGAATTGATTTTTATTTTTATTTTAAATATTCATTCATACTTGTGTATGTCATCGAAAATCTGACAACCAATCAAGAGCGTATCCATGAAAATCTCGCCCTTATCTTCTGCTAAAAAAATGCTATAAATATATTTCTTACCCTTATTTAAGTGCTACTTGAGGCTCTTGTAGTTGATGTTACAATACATCACAGCAGTGTAACTAAAAATTTTGGAGGGGTAACTCGGACGGGCCTTATAGGCAGTATTCAATTTATGATTCTAGTCATCAGAGAGGTCTCAGTATCATCGAGCTTATAGGGATGGGAATGAGGTCTTGTGAGCTCTGCTTAATGAATGATTATATCAGGGATTATTCATAATCGGTTAAAAATAAAATGACCTATATTAAAGCATTTGGGTTCTGCGTTTTTTTTATCCTTCAGAATAAGGTGTATTTTATATAATATCTGTGAAAATGATATACACCCTTTCATGAAGGATAATATGACTATTGAAAATCACGTTATAAAGGTATGGCAAAAATCACTCTTAGCTATAGAATGCCTTACCTTTAACAATATATTAATAATCCCTAATATAATATATTTATTGAATCAAAGCTCTCAAGATCTACTTTACAAATTATATAATTTGATGTATATTGAATGACCACTTTGATAAATTGTTTATAAAATTATTAATTTTGAAGATTAAAAACAGATTTTAAATATGATGGAGCAATCAATGCAACGTTCCCCTTCATCTCATCTAAAATTATTTAAAATATTTATGTCTCCCGATGATTGGGAGAGGTGGTACTCTTTCCACTTATTTTTCTAAATATTTTTGATAAATTTGAAGCATATTTTATTTATACCAATAAAAAAAAACTTTTTACTATAATAAAAATGTATCAACCATGCTGGAAAGGTATGGTGTGTCCAAAATATCATTTTGGGATTTAAATCAAAAATTAGCCAATGATATGACATCTAAATCTAAAATTAGCAAACAAAATGAATCCAAATCTAAAATTAAATTCAAAAAAATCTAAATAGCAAAAAAATAAAATAAATTCCAATCTAAAAGTAGTGTGGCCCATTATATTAGGAAAAAATATGAAGTCATAATATGAATTAGGTAATAAAAATTGAGATATCTGGAGGTAGCATTGTTAAATCACCAAACTTTGAACAAATCTATTATGCCAAAACCAAACTGTTAAATAACCGTTATGATTTGCCAAACTTAAATGCTATTGGAACCATTAAAAAATTTGAGATATAAATGAAAACCTATAAAAAAAGAAGCTTGTGAGCTAGTTAGAACCTTTTAAAGATTAATAATCAATTTTGACTAAATATCATTAATAATTTTAAAAAATTTTCTATATTGCTATTTGACAATATAACAGTGTTCTCAGCCAAACAATTTCTTCTACCTCCTGAGAATTTTAATAAAATATTTTAATGTACATGGCTCAATATTGTTTTTTTAGAGATTACTAATAAAATTTTTTAATTCCAACATATTAAATGATACAATTTAAATTAGTTTGAAAAGATTCGATTTTTTTAAAATTCATTTTAAAACCTTGCCTTAGCCATTTAGCCTAAAAATATAAATCTCAGATCAACACCAAAACAAAAATATTAGTTCTGGTTTAGATTCAGATAAAGAAATAATGAATCAAATTTTGTTTGTAAAACCAATAAAATTGGTTTAGTTTGAAACTTTAAAAAGCTGTTCAAATATTTTCGAATACAAGCATATTAGAATTATATAAAGAAAGAACCATTTTAATAGAACATTTACTCACTCACATTTCCCTTTAGAATCATTCATATATAGTAAAAAATAATTCAAAGCAACTAAAAATTTTTAAAAAAATAGTTTAAATTTTAAAAAAATCCAATGTAGATGTCAAGAATATCTGGGGAATTCTATGAGTTGTATAACAATTTGACCTCTACAGATACAAACCTTTGCCATAAATTGGTGGAAGGATAATAAAATTCTCCAATAACTTTAAAAGTGTAAAATATACTTTTTTATTAGCATACCCATACCTTATTATATCACAATGTTATGAATTCAAAAACTTAAAATATATCTATTTTACTTCAGTTTTTATAAAAAATTAAAAACTAAAGGGTGTTTATTATAATTTTAGTACAGTAATTTCATTCTAAAAAATAAAATTCTGGCTATGCATAATATAATAATTAGTTTGATCATAATTATATCATAAAGAATTATATAATGATTATTGTCCAAATTTTAACCTTACCTTAATATAAATTATTATAAATCTACAAAAAAAATATGTATATAAATTTAACCAGTAAATTAAAAAAAAATATTATATCATAATTATAAACCTCGACTGTTAAGCCATGCACATCTACTTTAAAGATGAGAAAAATAAGGTATAATATATTTTTCATGTTTTTAAAGTGATTAAAGTTAGAAATTAATATTTTTGCAAAACAAAATAATTTATATTTTCAAAAAATCATAAACCGTTTATATTTATTATTTTATATTGTTGTCTTGCAATATTAACAAATGGACTGTGACACAATACAGACGATATTATTTTTTTTTGTAAAAAATATTAGGTCTTTGATAAAATATGGAAGAGATATTTAAAAAGATAAATTCCACAAATAAACCAATAGCAAAATAGAGGCTTTAAAAAAATTTATTTATAAAAGTAGTAAAACTTATATATAAAAATAAATACATTATTAAATGATTAAATATAGTACTATATATAATAGGCAAGGAATTGAAAATATCTAAATATGAGGGTAGTTAAAAAGAGAGAGGGGGAAGGGTATTTTCATTTTCACTAAATATTTTTAAAAATAGATCCATTCTTCTTAAAGAATTAAAATATAGTTAATTATAATCAATAATTCTTTAAATTAATATGTATGTATAGGCTAATTTTTAATAATAACTAAATATTTGAGATCAATGTAACTTATCTCTGATTATTGTCGAAACGAATAATGAGTGTAATGTCCTATAAATTAAATATAAACTTTCCATAATTATACATTAAGAATAAGATTACATACATACGCATACTCAGAGTGAGGGAATGGGGGGGGGAGTAGCAAATATTTTGAAAAAACATAAAAAGTTCATGTGAAATGCAAAGAATTATTTCAAATTGATTATGTTATATTTTATTTTAAGCATGATTAGTTGAAATTTAGTTTTCTTGTTTATTAATAAGATTTTGAGAAAGCCATTCCTTGAAAGCATCTAATGTGGAAAGTTGAAGTAGCATAGTTGACTCAAAATATATCTTAATTAAAACATTGTAAGAGCATTCTCCAATCTAAGTATATATCAGTTGAGGGGTAAAATAAACACCCATCACAAGAATGTGTCTGCGAAAGATTAAAATTGTTTATTATTTTAAACATAATCGTAATCGATTGTATTTAAATTTAAAAATACGACTAAATTATTTAAACCAATAATGCAATAAATTAATTAAAATATGTATACAGTCACTAATTAAAATAATATCTGAGATAAATAGAATCATACTAAAATACTTTATCTTCATAAGCAACAGAAAAATTCTTAAATAACCACAGTAAATTTTATCTTTTCGATTTTTTTAATAACTAGAAATATATATTTACCAACTTCGATAATTTTTTTATTTCTTTCAGAATTAAAATAAGAAAAATTAAAAAAATAGAAATATTGAGTGAAAAATAAATACAACTTGTAAATTAATTATACATTCAGTTGAGAGTGTTTCTTTATATAGTCTAAGGGCATTCTATGCATTATGTTTTGTGTAGTGTAGGATCATCTAATAAAATAATTATAAAAAGATTCAATTTTTATTTTCATATATTATATTTTTAAACTTGTTATTTATGGCCAAAGGAAGATTATAATGATAAAATGATTTAATGCCATAAAGAAAATAATATTTATTTAAAAGAAACCTTATAATTTTGCAAGAAAGCTATTTAAATAAAATATAAACTTATTTGTTTTAAAGGGTGCCGATTATATAAAAATTGAGTGCAAATATTTATAATAGGGCTTTTACTTTAACACCTTTTATAAATCGAATACAAAGAATAAACAACGTTACATTGCAATGTGAATTCTTCTGATATAATTATGGAAATTTTACTTTATTGAAATTATCATATATTTTATTTGAATTTAAGAATATAGCCTCTGATGACGATACTCTATGATTAAATTTTAACTATATTTCTTTTTCTTATTTTTATTCTAATAACAAAAATTAAACATCAATTTTTACAATAATCCACGATTGATCTTTTTTTTGAAAAATATCTTATATCTGTCAATCATAAAAACATGATTATCATCATGATATAATCCGAATAGAGTGTAATATAAAATCTATGAACTATAATAATATCTTATATAGCATTTATCATTTTAATATTAAAAATCAAAATAGCTGTTTCGAAGTTTATACACATGTTAAGAGAAATTATTTACATTATGAGAATACAACACTTACATTATTTTATATTTTCATCAACCAATAGTCAATATCTAAAATCTTGATTTAATGTTGACTTAAAACTTTTCAATTAAAATAACAATATTATTATATTAATATTAAACATAATAAATATTTATAATTAATGATATCAGTTTCGACCAATTTTCCTTTATTTCTACTCTGAAGACTATAAGGGAATCTCATTTTAGAGGATAAGATTATTCCTTCTATTTCTACCTATAATAAAAAAGTAAGCTAATCTCTGTAGATAATTAATTTCTAGGTAAATTTGACTTGCAGTTTATTTTCTAGTACTATAGTAATTTTGGACTTTAGTCAATATAGCAACTGTTGATCATTAATCTCTCCAATCGTAACATGATTTAAATTAATACCTAATTTCTTATCTTACCTTATAAAAGTTCACATTGGTGTTCGCTACTCTACAGCGTGAAGGTTGGTGATAGATTTTTAGAGGATCCTAGATAGAATGAAAAGATAAAAAGAAAGAATGAATAAAAGAAGGGGAAATAAGAAAATGAAACAATCATGTGAGATTTCCAATACATCAAAATATATTTAAAACACAAGAAAATTTAAAAATAATAATAATTTCGAACTTCGAGATTACTAAAATAAATTAGTTTATACTACGAGGTAGACCTAAAAATTTAAAAAATGGCTTTAACCCAGAAATTAAGTATAAATAATAGAACTCAAGTTTTAACTTAGAAAAAAATATGCTTAAACATCGTGATTACTCTTATATTAACACTTTGTTTTCATTTCTATTTCCTGTTTCCTATCTTTGATAGAATTGGCTTCAAATAGATAGCTGAGCTAGAAGAAAATGTTCTTTATTAAAAACAAATAAAAATATTGAATTTCCTGCTTATGTTATTTTAAATTAAAAAGAAGAAGCTGAAGCCAACATGTTATAAATATTATGTGCATCAACTTTGAGAATATAAAGTCTTCGATCTCTAGAATAGAACAATGAAATTCAACCTTAGAAACTTGGCTTCAACTTCTTAATGAAAATATGTTAAAATATAAATTATTTGCATATTCATTAATTAGCCGATGTACACTGAGAAATAATTGCAAACATAATAGTTCGATATCCTCCACGTTTCTATTCTTAAATATTTTTAATTTTGCAAATATGTATAATCCTTCATATATTGTCAAGTTCAATTATGAATATGTATAATTATATTTTGATTTCTAGATTATTGATAAGGTTTCATGTCACATTACTTCAAATCATCTTGTATTACAAAGTTTAAGAATAGCTAATGCATCTTTGCATTCAAAATATATTTATACTGACATTCTAGGAGCATCCTTCAATACAAGTATCAAAGATTGAAGAGTAATTTATCCGTTGAAGCGTATAACCCAACCCTTGACAAATATACAAATCAGGTGAGATATAAAAATGATGCCTTTACCAAGTAATTTTGCAGCGTGGAAGGAGTATAGCCAACAAAATTAGTGTTGTTAAACGACTCATTTTCAGTCTATTTTTAAAAATGGCTTACTCAATATCTTATCCAGAAACATATATTGCAAGTCTGAAGATTCTGTTCATAGATGGTACAAAAGTCTATACATCTATTAGCCAAATCTGGCATAAGGAATTTTTTAGAATTTTTTTTCAGACTTAAATATAGAGTTGGTAGTTTTTCAAAAGCTGCTCAAAACGAGCCGTTTAGCAACACTACAATAATTGAAGGATATCGTTTGAATCGTATTTATCAACAATATTCTCATTCAATCATATTTCATCATTTTAAATATAAAAATACGCTTATTTACATCAACAATGTATAAAATTATAAAATCATCTTCAGCATCATAAACAAACGTTTCTAGCAAACATTGAAATTAAACATTGGTTGTTATTGTGATAATTTAATTCATTTTTTCGTTTAAATTTGCTTTGAACGTCAAAGGAACCTATTGTTTTTAAAACAGTTTAAAAGTTTGAGAATAGCTTCATTCTTTAATTAAATTACGAAATGAAGAGTATAAATTTATACTCATCGAGTGTTGACAGGATTTTTCAACATGTGAATCCGAATCGAACGAATGGATATATCTATATTATAATTTCCGATGTCTTTACTACGTTATGTCATCACTACATCATGTCATCGCTCATGTCACTAGTTTAGTTGATAGGCAGGATATAGCCAAATTGACATGAGCTATTTAGAAAGAGAATTTGATGGTGAGAATCCAGGGTTGGCAAGTCGGTCAATTGACCAGTCAAATTCAGTCAATTGACCGGCCAATTGACCGGAGGAGTATTTGACCTGTCAAATACGGTCAAATACTCTAAAAAATTTAAAGGAAAAATAAATTAAAAATATGTTTAAAAAAGGGAAAAAAGATGTAAATACATGTGATCACAATGTTTGCTTATTTTTCGGGTCCACAATATCAAGAGGAAAACTCACTAGTAGTGAAATTAATGAAGTATGTGATATAATTCAAGAATTAGCTATTTTACAAGGTAGTGATGACCAATATTTTAAGTGATATAATTAATTTAAGAAGCAAAAACAGCATGTTTAATATAGCAAAATATGTGGAAAGTAGTAATTTCCAGAAACAATCAATTCCGACCTCAAGTTAATAGATTAAACTTTGTCTACCCTGCCCATTAGGAGACTAACAATTCCTAGTTCTACTTCTTCTTTATAAAGAAATAGGTCGATTTGGGTTAATATTCTTATGAAAATAGAAATCGATTTAAGATCTAAGATATCAGGAAAATTGTTTAAAAAATATTAAAGAAAATGATAATATTGAATATGAATCAGAACAAAACTCTGCTACAGATAGCTACACGTTAGTTATTGAATGAATTTAAAAAATTAATATTATAGATTCATTTTACTATTATATTCAAAATAAAGTTAATATTAACTTAAAAAAAATATATTTGAATTTGACCACATTTGACCGTAATTGACCATATTTGGCCTGTCAAATATCGGTCAATTGACCGAAACGTATTTG